TATTTTAACAGGTTAACTTGTTCAGCTGTTGAGTTCAATGGCTGGTATCCTACAAGGACCTGTGTTTACAAATAATATACTAATATAAAAACTCTATTAGAAAAATGTCTCTGTAAGAAGTCAAACTAAGTCAATATTCATAGTTCAAGGCTGCTAAAAATGTTTTACATGAATATAAAAATTATTTGTACAAATGCTTTAAATTTCGTTTAAAAATAACAACAGATTTTTCGGTCTTTAGTTCTTTCGGAAGTTTGTTATTAAACAACAAACTTCCTTGAAATTTGAATGTCTTCCTTCCTACTTCAGTTTATACTCTCGAAATAACCAGAGAGCAGCCATCTCCACTTGTGTTCCTTCCATGTTCGAGAACTTTGAAATATAGGTATGGTATATAGATTTATGCACATCTATCATGATCTGCTCGCAATGACATTGGCAATTTGTTTCCATTCTGTTGGCACTCCCTTGGGGCACACGATACGCTTTCCTCGGTCCTAGATTGCCTAACATTTGTCTATCTGGTAGTTTGGAAATCCCAGGTGAACAGTTGGGCAATATGTTACTATAGGCTGAATCATGCTGTGATACACTTTTCCAGCTATAGCAGCCGTTAGACTTGGTCTAACGCGTTTCAGTAACTTTAGCCTCGAGGATGCCTTTTTATAGGTTGTGGCCAGATGGTCATGTAGGTTTAGATGTTGCTCTAATAGCACTCCCAAGTACATGTATTGTGTTGCTTCATTCTCCTTCTCTCCGTTTATACGTACGTTGATCTTGTGGAGTTCCTTACTCAGATTCTTCGCGGTTCCATACAAGACAAAATCTGTTTTTCCTTTCTTTAGGTTGAGCATCAGATGGTTATCTTTCATCCATATTGCAATTCGATTTACTTCCTCATTTAAAGTACTTTCAATGATCGAAGCATTCTTGTCCCTGAAATAGATAACAGTGTCGTCTGCATAGAGAATAATTTTACACTGTGATATATTAGTACCTACATCGTTAATTAGTAGCGCAAACAGAAGAGGTAAACGTCCCTTCGAAGTTTACAACCTGAGTTTGAGCAAACAAATAACTTTATACCCACATTAGCTCAACGTCATTAATGCCATAGGAAGGTAGTTTGTTAAGAAGACGTGCGTGGTTCACTGTGTCGAAAGCCTTTCCTAGATCGAGAAAAACTGCTCCTGTCAGCTGTTGGTTGTCCATACTTGTTCTAATGTCGTCCATGAAGATTGTCACGGCGTGCTTGGTTGACCGCTTTTGACGAAATCCATACTGGGAATCTTTAAGAAGATTGTTTTCCTCAAGGTAGTATGACAAGCAATTATAGACGACTCTTTCCAGTACTTTTGAAAACACTGGTAACACTGAAATGGGTCGGTAGTTGTCAAGAGCCGTTTTATCTTCAGACTTATAAATTGGTGATACTTGGCAGCTTTTTCAGCGGTTGGAAAAAGTCCACACGTCAAGCTACGGTTTACAAGGGTAGTGAATGACGTGGCAAGCTCTTCTGCAGCATCTTTGACCAGCTTAGGAGGGATATTATCCAGACCAGCGGCTTTCGAGGCGCTGATTGATTTTAGGACTCCCAATACTTCTTTGTAGTACGTGACATTGAAGTGAAATCGATGGCTGTCCAGATTCACTTTAGCTGGAAGATCATTCATAGAATCAGTTTGCAGTTGTTTTTTTTTTTTGGTTTCTTCCAATAAAACCTGGACGATGGACGTCCATATCGTCCATGGACGACGTCCATCATCCATGGACGTCCATCGTCCATCGTCCAGGTTTTAGCACATGCCATGTTCTATATATTTATAGGTTTGATATTATTTTAATTTCTGTCTATTCGGAAGTTTATTTATACAAACACGTCACTATTACTAATTACATTGTAGTCACATCGCGAGTTTAATAAAATCTATCCCTAATCTCAATGATTTATGCGACTACTTCAGAGAAAACTAAGCACAGACATTTTAGTTTGAAAAATTAGATAATACGGATATTTTACGAGCTATTGAGACTTTGAGTAGTGGATTTAAGCGGCATGTGCTAAAACCTGGACGATGGACTGGACGATGGACGATGGACGTCCATCGTCCAGGTTTTAGCACATGAAATACTATCAAACTGAAGAGAAAAGATGGTGAATATACTGGTGTACGGCCGAAAAGAGAAAACCAACGATACCAAAGTTATATCAAACGTACTGCATTTTTAATTATAGTTTAATAATTTTGAGCGATTTGTCAACAAACAATTTCGCTTGACTTTCAAAGGCCATAAATCGCTAGAATACTGTTGTTTAGTAATACATTTGACATCCGTAAGTACAATTTCTTACGCTGAATCGAACCGTGGTATTTTATTTTGAGCCGCTTGTCTTTCAAAACCCATGAATCGCTGGAATACAAAATTAATCAATTTTGAAATCAATTTCCCACCATAAATATAACGTTCTACGCTGCTTCGAACAGTGGTACTTTTGTCCATGTTTGGTGCATAAAACCAGAGATAAAGCCCAGCAAACAGTCGGTCCTGACTCCTGAGAGCCCAAGATTAATTAATTTTCCCGCAAAATAAATCAATTTCGAGCACGTGCAAGGAATCTTACTAGGTGATTAAGAAAACGTTTGATGCGAACAAACTAACAAACGGACAAACTCACAGGCAGAATTACCGCAATTCAAAACACTAAAACCCGCACACTTCCGCTCCTGTACTTTGTTGTCATTTATTGTACACGTCGCTGTGTATTAATACTTGTAACAAACAATGGCTGTTGTATAAAGTAGCGTTGGATTTGTGGCAAGATGATACGCTAATCATATACATGAAAAAGCGCAAAAATAGCCAACATTCTTTCTCGTTTGCGTGGAAATGCAGAAAATATCGAATGTAGAAGATCTTGTCTAAAAGTACACACGAGTGACCACGAATGACCACGAGTGACCACGAATGACCACGAGTGACCACGAATGACCACGAGTGACCACGAGTAATTTCTGTGTTTAAAAATCATGAAATAATAATAAAAACTATTTTAAGGTGGCTCCCTAAGTTTTTTGCATTATACTGCACTATAGTATCCAGAAAACGCCTGTTTCTTCAAGTTACATGACATGAAGACGAAATTTATTGGACACATTGACAATGCTCTCCTGAACATTGCGATGTGATACTTTTGTGCTGAAAATCCGTTACCATGGCAACAGCGTGCTTAGGATAAGGCTCAAAATTTGTCTTTTTTCGCCATTTTAAAAATTCCTTCGGGAAATTTTTTTTAGTTTTTCAACTATTGTACACGTCAGCCTACAGGAACATGGCAAAGCATCTGAAGTTAGGGGAGAGGGTGTTGCCGGAGGATTTTACCTCAAATTTGAATTTTTAATAAATATTTACCTAAAGTGTAATAATTATAATAATGCTTCTTGTGATTGACTTGCACTGTCATACTAAGTTTCGGAAGAAAACGGGTTTGGGGGTCCTCCCCCAGAAAATTGTTCCATTTTTGAAGCTCTAGGACTGATATTCTGGCGTTTTCTAAAGCAAATTCGCAAACAAATTGGATGTAAATTGACTGTATATTTTACAAAAATGGTCATCATTTCACACAAATAATTACTTTATTACGCAAATTTTCACCTGAAAATATCAAAATTTTAACTGGAATTTTACCCGATTTTTGTCTGAGTTTTACAGTTGGGCTCAATATCCTTCTTTCTTAAAATTTTATTGAAGGGAATAATCTAAGTAACGTTCCATAGAATTTTTTAAAATTGAAGAAAAAAATCAATATACGAGAAAGATCTTTGATGCAAATTTTTAAATTTTTAAAACGGCCGGAAAAAGACAAATTTTGAGCTTAATTATTCTAAGCGCGCTGTCACCATGGTAACGGACGTTCAGCGCAAAAGTAGCAAATTGCAATGTTCAGGAAAGCATTGTCAATGTGTCCAATAAATTTCATCTTCGTGTCATGTAAAGTGAAGAAACAGGCGTTTTCTGGATATAAAAGTGTAGTATAATGCAAAAACCCTATGAAGCCACCTTAAAATAGTTTTTTATTATTATTTTATGACTTTTAAACACAGAAATCACTCGTGGTTATTCGTGGTCATTCGTGGTCATTCGTGGTCACTCGTGGTCACTCGTGGTCACTTGTGGTCATTCGTGGTCACTCGTGGTCACTCGTGTGTACTTTTAGACAAGACCAATGTAGAACAATAACATTGTATGTAACAGTAACATTGTAACAGTAACATTGTAACATTGATTAAAATGTTGTAAATCTGTATAATTTCTATTTAATGAACTGTCAATCAAATTTCAGTAAGTAAATAAGATCATTAAGGTGTGTCAAATTGATAGTATAGTGACAGGCCTTAAAATATCGGTCGGTCACGGACATTGGTCCGACCCATTCGTGAAATTGTCCGACGTAGTGAGGAAACCACCGGACATTCTGTCCGACATAAGTGAAACTGGGGTTTACTGATTGTCCGACCCGAGTGTATTGGTGTCCGACCGAACTGTAGCTTTGTCCAACGTAAATCAATCCGCAGTAACGCTCGTATGGTAAATGGAAAATAAAGGACAATTGAGTATTGTATATAAAAAGTAAACTACATGGAAATGTTTTTAACGTAGGCTGATCGAGCGAGGGCGGCGACGTACTCGCGAAATGGTGAAGTAAAAACGGGCTTAAGTTGTAAAAACGGGCGAAGTCTTACTGCTGTTCTTTTTATTGTTTTATTTAATCAAACGAACAAGTTTTGAACGGCATATAGTATCATGTTTAGGCCGAGGGAATTAAAGTCATAGAATACCATCCTCCGCCCGCATGTCCAAAATGCTGCCGCAAAAAAATCATTATTTCAAAAAATTTCGTTGTTTCAACAATGATCTACACTTTAAACTATAATTCATCGCAGAAGTCATGTATTAAGAGTAAAGTCTACTTGTACAGCAAACTTTCACTTCGCAGGCATTCGCTGCCTAGTTTTAAAGATTGCTGGCATATTACTGAACAGGTTTATTGACGTTCAACCAATTTTCACACATTTCTAAAAATAATAACGAATAATGAAATAATAATGAAAAAAAGACTCATCTATTTTTGAAATTATAAGGACGGTATTCTATGACTTTAATTCCCTCGGCCTTACATGTCATGTCAAAACATGAAGGCGCGGTCATAATTTTGTCGACGGCGCGATAAATATCAGAAACACACTAGTCACTACATGGCTTTGTAAACAGCACTTTTCATAATAGGATATTGTCTTATTGATTTGAGCGATAAATATAAAAGCCTGTCATCAAACATCACTTGAACTGAAGCGTAAACAAATATATTATAATATTAATATTACTGTAAAACTAAATATAGTCAGCACATGCATTTCACAACTTGATTATTATATTGTTTGTAAAAAATTGTTATACTTTACAGTATATATATAATAACAGGGTGAGTAAAAAAAACTGATACCTTTGATATTCAAATTATAACAAAGGTGTCAGTTTTTTTTACTCACCCTGTATGCGGCTATACCTATGGCTTTGGTTTTAACAACAGTTCATGCGAAATTAATTAACACAATATCAACGCAAGTATTGTCATAAATATCAAAGACAAAGAAACTGATTAACAATAACGATATATATGACATTGTACCTTCAGTTCTGAATGTTTCATAGCCTCTGTTAGTAGTATAGGAACTGGCGTGTCTAGACCACTAGGATTTTCGTTCACGTGAACGTGAAAAATTACACACCTGATTTAATTAAAATTTTTTTATTGTTATACGGTTCTAGACCATCTTGGTTTTTCAGGAACGCCAGTTTTTTTCCTTTGATTAAAATTAATTATTTTTCATTTAACTTATCTCAAAGCTGTGATTCTAATACGATTATCCTACACTTTTCCAATATCGTCCAACCTTCCTATTCCAAAACCTCCTCAACAACTTTTATTTCCTCCTTGGGGGTACACACATCCTTTTTGTAAAGTTGTTGGATACTAGTTTTGAAGCACTGATTAGTACCCTACAAGAACTACACCACGTTCATTTTTTGTGTTGCTTCTTACAAGTGCCACACATAACGTCTGTGCCTTTAGTTTCATCAACATTTTCAAATCTTCCTTCGATTCTGGAGGTAGTGTATCCAGGTTGTTTTTATGTGATTAATATCAGGTACAAGTTTTCTTAACTCCTTCAGCAGTCATTCCACCTCCACCGTTTTCCTTTACATAGGAATACATTTTTGACCTCAACCCAACAAACTCAATTATAGGTACTCCTTCAGCTTCATCCTTAAACTTACCTATAACCTTCTTGTTGTGAGTTGAGTAGTACGGAGAATCTTTTGGGTAATCTGAATGATCCCAACAGTTTTGCTTTTCACCACTCTTTTTCGACCACCCCCTCTCGCATCATATTACGACACAATTTTTCTAATATAAATATCTCGGCGAGTATTTACCCCCCTTATAAATAAATACCACCATTGTAATCCTCACAAAATAACCTTTCAAACGGGGGGTCAAGTGCCGTCTGAACATTACACAAACCGAAACAATCATATATTTACTCACCGCTTGACCAAAGATTCTAAATTTCATATACACAAGATCTTGAATATCTATTGAACATTTCGTCATTTGCTGAACGGCTATATGTGTAAAATACTTTTTGTATTCAAGCACTTTTGTGTAGAAAGTTTCGTATGTATACGCCGACTAGAAATATTTATTTTGAATTTTTCAAGATATCGGGTTTTACTCGCACTTGCGAACATTGCGCAATAATTGGCCAATAAGAAGCTCCTGTTGGCCGGTATGACGTCAAACTCACGCGTGTAGGTGCAATTTGACCTTGCGAATCCATTTCTGGCCTTTGCAGGGTCATACAATACAAGCTTCGCATTGTTTTGACGATTTTCAGTCGTATTTCCGGTTGGGATTAACTCACTTCGAGCTCACAGTCGGGCAAGAAACAAAAATATATTGATAAAAGATACAGATTTGAAGATACAGGCTTGCAAATAACACTCTAAGTAGTGTTTTTAATGGGGATTTTAACAAGACTATTACAAAGACGATACGTTCGAAGGGGCCGAAGTTATTTTCGGCAAAAGGTATGGCTAGTCTATATTTTTGTTCAGACAATTGCGTAATTTGATACAATATGATCGTGTTTGACTTCAAAGGCCCATAAATCGCTACAATGTTGATAATGACTATAACTATAGGAAGGAATTAGTTGAATCTTTTCTTTCTGAATCGAATGGTGGTATTTCTGTCTTCATAGCATGCACTGAACCGAAGATATTAAATATCTTGCAATCGATCAGTGCTGATCGACGCAACTGGGACGTGGTGGTTATTAATTAAATTAAAAAGTATGTCATCAGAAACAAGCTCACTCACGAGAACTTTAAGAATGTAATTAATAAGAAAGGTAGGATGAGACATAATATGAATACAATCAGAAGTGTAAAGCATACAATTGGAACTTACGAATTGAAGAAGGTTACTCTTAGCTGTTTTGATGACAAAAGATACTTACTTGAAGATGGAGTTACAAGTTACGCTTATGGACACCACGCAATTGGAAAAACAGACGTTGAAGGGGTGATTGAAGAAAAAATAGAACCTAGCTGTGTACCAGTAAGAGTGGAAGAAAAAATTGATAAGTACTACCCCAGATTACCATTTAAGGTTGTGGTGCCTGCTAGAAGGTGGAAGTTCAAGAAACTGCAACCGTTATTAAAGTCCTCATAAACATTATCCGTCTTCAGTTCATACATTAGACTGTCAGTATCAGTGAACAGTAGCCTTGAATTATTACCGTACTCCTTCTTGATGGTGTTGTAGTGAAAATCGTACATTAAAGTCTTTGATAAGTCTAAGATGCTCATTCCTACGTAACACGGCTTATTTAGCGTTAGAACTTCTTTCATTCTTTTTACAACTATAAGGTTCTCATTCATTATTCGATGTGACTGGAAGCACGGTGACGCTGTCAGTTTTAGGAGGTCGTCTTTGGAGGACACTAATTTCACATCAACCCTTTTCCTAAGATTTTCCATAGTCTTTCCGTAAATCGAATTATTCATCAACTTGAAGAAGTTCTTTTCGAACGTGTTACGAGCTACTGACCTTTTCTTCGTATTGAAGTCTATATAGTCCTTAAGCCAGGGAGACTGCTTGAACGTAACCGCTCTATGGACCTTTGTGAGTTTCATTCCAAGGTCCGTGTACAGTTTCAGATTACGTATATGTAAGACGTAATTTTTCCTTGGACCAAGTGAAGTTACTAGTTTTCTTACTCCTCCAATTTTCAGATGGAATTTCTCAGCAATACTCTTCGCATAATCTGACAACATAGAAGCACTGATTTCCTTACTCTCCGGTGCTAGAGGATAACCGTTATGTAGGTCGTGAAGTTCTTGTGAATATTCCAGATCAACCTCCAAAACCATCCCTCTTTCGTTGTCTCCCAAAGTAATCATCTAGATTCATACCGTCGACTTCCTCAACCCACTCAAACTCTCCGTTAGGTAGAGGTTGTGACATTGCCCAGCCATATAAATTGTTAGCGTCGAGGTACATCAGGTACTTACTCTCAGACGACTCGTCATACGTTTCCATGTACTTATTATTAGCTGCTGAGTGTCTATGAGCAATTTAACTTGTACCACCTCTCATACCCTTCTCGAAGAACTGAAACATATCCATATCACTTACAAGTTCTATTTCTTCACCTGACTTTTTCAGGAAAGCGTCCCAGACTAGGTGCTGACATGTAATGTGCGGGGTCAAGTTCATAACTTTCCAGACATGTTCTCCTGAAGTTTTCAAACACATCAGCCAGCAGAAGAACGTCAGTCTCCAGGTAGAGATCGTGGTAGTCTCTCATGGTTTTCATTCCAAAGTGGTCCCATACTTTTTGAGCTTTTTGGTAATCTTCTTCGTTAACCTCTGACTCGTACAGTGATGAGTAAAACTTATCTCTACTCGGAAGACCTTCTGTATTGAGTTTGCTAATGTCATCCAAGAATTCATATGGAAAGACTCCTTTTTGTGTCACTAGATTGAAGTCCTCGCCCTTCCACCTCTTACCTACTATCCTGAAGTCCTCAGGTGAAAGGTTACTTACCAGTGCTTCCAGTGAAGAAGCCATGAACTGTATAGAGTCTATGAAGACCAGATTCTTACCCAGTGAGAATGAGATGTATTTTTCCATATTATTTGGAATCACATTAACATCCATCTTGAACTTACCAATTTCCTGCATAATCAGATGACTATCATAACCTCTCAGGTTGTGGAAGACCACAGGCACTTTCCATGTAATTCTGTACTTCAGGTTGCATATATTGTGAGCAGCCCCACGGTACATTCCTGTTACATGGTCATGGTCTCTTACCCTATCCTCACCAAGGTCGTTACCACATGCATATTGAACAGTTTCTTGCAGCTTGAAATTCGAATTCCTGTTTTGGTGTAATTACCATCTTTTTCTTGAATATTTTTTTAACCATCTCTCTACATCTTAATGACTCTTTCAATACAGCCTTTAAGAAGACCAATGCAGCATCCTCTCCAACGTAACTCTTATACTCACCGGAATACTTATCATCATAGTGGCAGACTGTCTTCAAACCAAAAATACAAGCTTTGTGTGTCTGGTAAAGGTCCGTACTACTTTCATCCTCAGAGTGTTCCGACTCCACTTTTTTCTCCTCTGGTACTAGTATGGACTCAAAATCGGCGTATATCACAAACGGCACAGGAATTGAGTTCCTATGATTTTTGAACTTGATTTTTGTCCCTTCCTTGGGAAGCTTAACAGCCTGAGTTCCATTTACCTCCAGACATGTTTCCTTATGCTTCTCCAGTACCTCTTTGCTCACACAACTATGAAGACAGTGTAGACAGAAGTGCTTCTTATGTGTATGTTTACTTACACTGAAGAGCATCCTGTTTACATCCTTTATGAGCACATAATGGTTGTTATCTTCGCCATCACCCAGGAGTAGAAGCTCCATATGATCCTCATATTTGGCCTTGGAGTTCCTTATAGGGTAGAACTGTTTCTTACCCTTATAACCAAACACAGATATGCTGATACTGTTTTTCCTCTCAATTCTATCAATGTCACTTATCTTCACAGGGAAGTCTATACCGTTATAGTCCAGGTTCGTTATGAATTCCCTATCTTTCTGTGTGATAGTGGTTGCTCTTCTAGCCTTAGGATTCAGATGTCTCACATGACTCCACATGAAACACATGTCGTCATTGTTCTTCATATTGATGAGCCCACACTTTGGATTACTGATGTCCCCTGGAAGTTTCATATATGAACTACCCTTTAATGGTTTGTACATTGCGATGTTTACGTAATGACTCTAAATATTGAGTATAATCCAATTTGAACCTAAGTTTTGGAAGGTTTCAATTCTAGATAATATTGTCAGTTGGTTTTGAGCAGCTGTACTTTCAATATCCTCGAAGTTAGTTGCAGTACCAGTCTTAGATTTGAAGTAGACTGAGTCCTTCTTGGTTTTCCCGTCACCAATTTCCTTTGACATTCTCACCTTCAGAGTCTCTGTGTACTTCAACCCACCCATTCTCTTCAACTCATTCACAAGTATTCCTCTCACTACCTGTCTACTTGCAGTCATCTGGTCCAGGGGGTCCATATAATGAGGAGTTATCGAGTAGGTCACAGCGGCTCCATTTGCGGCTGTTTCAATTTTCCTGTGGAATGGCTTTTCAAGGTCTGTTCCAAATGGATCAATTTCTTGTTCCTCTGGTGTAACCACTATAGGCTGCTCCTTAACTTCCCTCGACACCCTTACAGGCTTACGGACCTTAGGTGGAGACATTGGTTTCCTAGTCCTAGGTTTCGGTACAGGTCTTTCCTTAGGAAGCTTAGTCCTAGGTTTTGGTACAGGTCTTTCCCTAGGAAGTACCGTTCTAGGCTTAGGTATCGGTCTCCATGGAGCTACACCCTTAGGCACCTCATGGACAATACACGCTAACTTCAATACACAATAAATAACAATACACAATACAATACACGCTAACTTCAATTACGATATTTCTACAATGGATTTACATAAAAATACACAAAACAACGCACGCATTACACGCGTGCACCTTATACACAATATTTCACGGGATGGTCTATTTCAAGACCCCGTTGAAAATATAAGAAATCCATTGGATGAATAATGATTATAAAATATAAGTAAACCACAGGTCCAAGACGCATGTAGAGGTCCTATTACCTATCCCAAAATTCAAATAATGTAGAGGTCTTATTACCTATTCCAAAATTAAAATATTGCAAGCCCTATTACCAGTTCCTAATTTGCAATATCGCAGTATTGTCAAATCCGGCCCTGTGATAAATTCATGTGCATCATCAAATCACACCTATCAATTACCAAGTAATAACTTTACATACAATACACGCTAACTTCAATTACGATATTTCTACAATGGATTTACATAAAAATACACAAAACAACGCACGCATTACACGCGTGCACCTTATACACAATATTTCACGGGATGGTCTATTTCAAGACCCCGTTGAAAATATAAGAAATCCATTGGATGAATAATGATTATAAAATACAAGTAAACCACAGGTCCAAGACGCATGTAGAGGTCCTATTACCTATCCCAAAATTCAAATCTCCTATTAAGATCCACGTGAATTGTAATCTTGCCAGGACCTGTTGGGGTTATGACACTATCAGCAGGCACTGAGAGTTTTACCTTCTTTTGGCTCAGGAATCTTTCTGCTACAGTTTGCTTTCTAACATTAGCATCAGTCTTTGCCTTTGGTGGTCTACCTCTTACTTCGGCATCAGACTTTACCTTTGGTGGTCTACCTCTCTTTTTAGGAATCTTCA